CACTTTTCTCATGCTTGAGCGTGTTCTAGAATTACGGGAAGTCTTTACTCACCTAGAGCAGGTCGATGGTGACTATAAGGCGAAGCTGTCCACAGAGGAATGGAAAATGGCAACTGTCATATGTGAGTGCTTGAAAGTGTTCTACAAGTCCATATACAACTTTTCAACAAGCATAGATGGATATTTTGAGAATATTGGTTTCATCTACAAGAATTTGCTCAAATGGGAAAAAAGTGATCATAAATATATTCAATTGATGGCAAGTAGAATGAAGGTGAAATTTGATGAGTACTGGAGTGAAAATAGTTTGACTTTTGGCATCTTAGCAGTTCTTGACCCTCGCTATAAATCTGATTTGGTGGAGTATGGGTACGAGCAAATCTACAACAGTGATGCTAAGCGACATTTTTGGAGGTTTCGTGATGATCTTATGTGTGTGTACAATAAATATGCAAATAGCTCCAGCTGTCTGGGGTCATCTGCTCCAACCACTGCTGACTTGAGCTATCTATCATATAATCCAAACTCTGGTGATAAGCTCTTGGGATTTAATCAGTGGCGAAAACGTAAATATGATTCCAATATGGGAGACTCTCAAAAGTCTGAACTTGACCAGTATTTAGAAGAACCTCCAGTTAACTTGGGTGCAGATTCTGACATATTAGGTTGGTGGTGTGCCAATGCTCTGAAATTTCCGACACTCGGGAAAATGGCTCAAGATTTCTTAGCAATTCCAATATCAGCTATTTTAACCAAGTCCTCCTTTGTTGATGAAGTCGTGAAGATGAATGCAGCCCTCAATGGCCTGAGCCCTGATGGCCTGAGCCCTGAGATTATAGAGGCTTTAGTATGTGGACAGAACTGGTTGGAAAGCCCTAGAAGGAGGTAAATTTTTCTCTTTACATAGTTTGTTGGTTCCTTATGATCTCCACTGTATGCCGCTTTTCCCTTTCTGGTTCTTTTTTCCACCATCTAGTTCGTTCTGTTGTAAGCTAAAATGGATATAATGTTCCATAGCACTGGTGTTTTGGAGGATGTGCGAAATGAGATTAAAAAAGAAAACTAGAACTTTAAGCTATTTCTTTTGAGTTGTTGCTTTGGACTAACCAGTTCCTGTGAAAAGTGGTAAGTTTAAATGCCTTCCCACTCATGCTGCTATTATGGCTGACCTTCTCCTTCCCTACACCATTGAATCATTGAGATCGATATCTTTTTCCTTTTTCCTTGCATTTTGTCAGATGTACCTGCTATTTCCTTTTTTTTAATTATTTTCCAATAACTATAGCCTCACTTGAAGCGAGGATGATGTGCCGGCGATCAGCAGGCATCAAATTGATCATCATCCAAATCCCCATCCTCGTCCACAGCAGTTAGATTCCATTCGAGCAGTCCTAATCAAACAGATCCCATCAAATACATAGGAGTACCTTTCTTCGCTTGTGGTACTGTTGCTTTGATTAGGTTATACCACATGCATATTTGTTTAATCGTACAGTCATTTAAAATTACAAAATACAAATGTTGGATGAAGGAAACTTTTTTTTTTTTGCTTTTTGATGCAGGAATTGAATGTAAAGCCTGAAGGTTTTTCTTTTTCTTCTTCATTACCCAAATATGAATGGCTGGTTGCTAATCTGGATTACAAGCTTCAGTGTTGCCTATATCTACAGCAACATCACAAGGAGGTGAAGTCCCTTTGCATTTCCGATTTTGTCAACTGTTATCCTCATCGATGGTGAATCTGCAGTTGCTGCCATGGATAAATATGAGGTTTCTCCTTCAATTCACCCATAGTAGATTGTATATAAGTACGGTATCAGTTTGGCCTTCTACGACCGACTACAGTCAATGAAAAATGTTTGTATGCCAACTCCATGGCATCATGTCTGTATGCTTAACAACTAGCCAGCAAGTAGCTGATGTCTATCTTTGTAAGTTTTCTGTGGTTGAATCTGTTCTGTGATTAGGCTGTTCATGAGACTCAAATGTCTCAAGGTGCAAAATCTAGGGCAAATGAGTTGCTTTTATCTAATCTAATGCTACTAGATGCTGTTGTTGACTCTGGTTAAGATGAAAAATGGGTCCATTTCATTTTGGATATTGATCATTTGCTCCTAGTTGAGCCTATGGTTTTGGCAGGCAAATTCTTGGTTAGTGATTTTAATTGTGATGGAAATTCTAAATAATGATTAAATATCTGCCAAAATTCACAATAATAAAATTCAGTTTTTTTTTTGAAAAAAAAAAAAAAAGGGTGCCAACTCCATTGGCATCAAGTCTGTATACTATGGAAAAGTAGCTAACTTGTATGTTTGCAAGTTTCCTGTGGTCGAATCATAATCCAAAATTTCTATGAAATTTAAGTTAAGTTTTTTAATTTTTAATTTCGGATTGGATATTTTTTCATTTGAAATTAGATTTAATTGACGGAAACCATTATTATAATTGACGGAAACCTAGTAGAAGAAAGTTGATCTAACCATTGTTATAATTGACGGAAACTTAACAGAAGAAAGTTGACCTAACCCAAAATTAAAAGTTTAAAGATTGATTTTTCAAATGATTTAAAATTCATCCGAAATTAAAAATTTAAAAAATGATTTTTAAATGATTTAAAATTCATCAGAAGAAGTTCGGATAATTTAACCATTAATATTTTCTTATCAAGCGGTTCATGAGTTGTCTTAATCTTAATCTAATAATGCAACTAGTATGCTCTTAATGACTATGTCAAAATGGGGGATGGTCAATTTCATGTTGAATCTTCGTCGTCCGTTCATGGCTGACCCTATGGTTTTGGCTGGAAATTTCTTGGTTAGTGATTCTGATTGCCATGGAAGTTTCCTCCATTGTAGTGCTCATTGAGGTGACACATTTTTTGGTGTGTTAGGGTTAGGAAATTTAACGGAAAAGTGAAAATACTGATGAAAAAGAGATTCAGTTCACATCTTTCCTTTGTAACTCTGCTCAAGTAATTGCCTGTCTTCTTCCTTTAGCATCTATACATTATTTTTATTATTTATTTGTGTATGTAAAGCCAAAACTCAGAGAAAACGTGTCTGCTGGTTGGCTTGTTCACACACGGACAAGGGCATTCGTTTTTAATTTCTCTAAGAACTCTTTTTTTTTTTTTTCAAATCGAAAATTTATAAAAAAAAATTAATTAAATTATAAAATTTAGAAATGATTTTATTCTATATGACCCGAGGTAACGCAAGTAACCAACTAGCTTGGTTCTAATTGTTTTGGATATTTTTTCTGATTTTTTTTTCTTTCTTTTTGATGGGTTACTGGTTATTGACTATTCAACTTGGGGAGAATACAATATAAATTACTCCCGCTATTTTAAGAAATAAACTATTTAGTCCTTTTGTTTTAAAAATTAATCATCTAATTTTTTGACTTGATCAATATTTAATTTAATATTATTTTATTTTTAATAATGTCTTGTTTTCTAATGAGTCTTTCATATATATAGTCAACTCAAATGATAGTAGGACTATCATCTCACTGCCCAACAACATATGAAGATTTTAAATGCCATGCAAACAGACTAAGAATGTCTTCTTATTTTAGATGACTTAGGTGAACCTATCCAAGATGCAGTTTCAATACTCATCTTAACCATTTCCCTTCATTTCATTGGTGACCCTTCTCATCCGAAAGACAAAAACGTTGAACTTCTTAGTAACCTTAGATGCAAGAAACTTAGTGATTTCTAGTATTACAAAACCAAATTTCTAATCGAGTCATGCTTAGTGAAGATTCCAATCAACCTTTTTTGAAGGAGAAATTCCTTACAGGTCTCTCAACCCTTTTAGAAGAAAAGGTTAGGATAGTATTAAGGAAGCTTTCGGTAACCAAATCCCTTATGATCAATTGACTTATAGTGAACTTATCGGTTTAACCTAAAAAAAAGGCCTTAAGATATGTCAAGACCTCAAACTCCAAAAACACCTTCGAGTTGGAAATGAAGAAGACCGGACAGAAAATAGGTAGTTTCCGTAAGCAATATATATATACCCATAAACTTTCCAATAAGACAATAAATAAATAAATAAACTCCTTCAGATTCCATATTTAATTGCATGAAACATAAGATTATTACACTGATGGGCAAAGGAAACTTTGGTGGAGCTACATGGAGTAAGTTTTTTACCAAGGGACTATTCTCCATAATTTTTACCAAGTCCTAATTGAGTTTCCTTTAATACTTAGAAATTGAATTTATTCATAAAAAAAATTATACAAAAATTTCTAATTTAACATGATGTCTTTGCTTTAAATAAAAAGAATGGATTTAGTATTGTTATGATTCTTAAGATAACTCGAAGATCGAATTTAATTTCGATTTATAATCGGATAAAAAGAATTTAAACATAAGTGAATCAAATAAATTATAAATTAATCTTTTTATTTTTGAAAAATGAATCTATTAATCTTTTTTATTTTAAAAATTAATTATTTAATTTCTTAATCAGTGTTATCATCTTTAATTTAATATTATTTTATTTTAAAAATATAATTTTTTCTTATCAGCTTTTTATATTTTTTACTTATTATTTTTATTTCTTATTAAAATAAAAATAAATTAAAAAATAAGAAATGGTTAAGTTACCCTAAAATTTAAATATATATATATATAAACTAAATAATTAATTTTTGAAATAAAAAAATAAATTAATTCATTTCTCAAAATTAGAGGGATTAATTTATAATTTATTCAAAGAAAATAGCATATACCTGCCTGCAATGCCTTGGATACGGAATAGGATAAAATGGTAATTTAGCAGAACAAAAAATCACTAATTTCTAATAATATTTATCATTTTTTTTTATTATTTGAGGAGACTCGGGTTAGCAACTGAAGTCAATCACTGCTTCTCGTCCTTTTCAACCCTTTCTGTTCTAGACTCTTCCATTCCATCCCCTCCTCCGTCTCGTTCTCCGGCTCGCCTTCGCCTCCGTCTCTCCGAATCGTTTGTTTTTCAGTTGGATAAATGGCGGATCTGGAGAAGAAAGCGAAAGAAGCATTCATCGACGACCACTTCGAGTTAGCCGTCGATCTCTACAGTCAAGCCATAGCCCTCAACCCTAGCAATCCTGACCTCTTCGCTGACCGTGCTCAAGCCAATATCAAACTCAACAATCTCCCCGGTATACTTAACTAACCGACCATCGCACTTATACAGCAAGAACAATCTCTCTTTGTTTTATCACTTTCAGTTGTTACTCGCTCGCTGTCTCAGTTTTGCGCTGCTTTCTTTTCTTCTTATCCTAATTTTATCTGCTAATTAGTTAATAATTGTAATCAAATTGTGATTTTTGTTAAGTTTTTGCAACTTTTTTGGATAGCTAATTTTAGAAGGAATGGATTTTTTCTTAATTAGTTTATAATTGTGAATTTATGTAAGTTTGATTAATTTTGTGATTTTATTAATGAAAGACTGAAATTTTGTTTGTATTTGGTCTGTTTGTAGAGGCTGTTGCGGATGCAAGCAGAGCGATTGAATTGGATCCTTCCATGGCTAAAGCTTACTTGCGCAAAGGGTTAGTTTGCGAATTCGTATGTGTTTTTTGGTTTTTGAGGAATTATAAGCGTGGAGTTTGTGGCTTGATTGTGTTTTATGTATTTTGGTTGTGTAATTGGTGGTGTTTTTGTATGTGTGTTATTGAATTGATATGTGAGTTTATGATAATTCTGAAGAAAAGCTGTGTTTCTTCTTTTTTTTTTGTTAAAGTGAGATTGCAAACGAGAACTGATGACTCTGTCTCGCATTCTATTTGGTTATTCATTATTTCCTGGTGTAAGGATTCCATTTCTTCTGTTAAAGTTATTCTTTGGTTGAGGAGACAATTTTGGAAATTTTATGGTTTTTGCTAAGTGCAATGGCTTGAAGAGAAGCCCTTTTCAACTTTACCACATACTTTACTTCTGCATTGACTTCACTACAGTGTAATATTTATCATTTTAGCCATTGCTGTAAAAATAATCACATGTGCACTTACCACCATCCACAAGACATTTGCTTTCACTTGATAGTTACCACTGCATCACCGGGACAACCTTATTGTGGTGGCCCACCTCTAGTCATCTCTGCTACTAATTGTTGTAACTTTTTGAATGATAGCCTATGTGAATGAGACAACGAACTATAGTTACAGATTGGTTGTGTTTCAAATGTTGAATGGAGTGCTATTTATTGCTCTATTTAGATAAGTGAATTCAACAAATGAATCATGAAGCATATTTTAGAATAACTTCTTTGCTTCATGGTTCTTTGTCAGTTTGGTTTGCAATGTCTCAGCATCAGTTTTCTTTCCCATTCTGGCTGTGCAGTTTTTCTTTAACCCTGCAATGTGGTCCTTTTTCCTGTGCTATTTTTACCTTCTTTCACCTTTTTCTCTAGAATGTCTGTTATTTTTATTTTTATTTATTTTTTTATAAAATGGTTGCTAGATATGATGAAAGTGATCATTATTAGTGAAACGTAAAACTTTTGGGCTTGCAACCCCTTTGGTGCATGTTAGAACTTGAGGGTGATGATTATGTTATAATTTTTTCTCTGCTAATGCATGTCCTGCTTTCTGGGAATATAGTTTGGGGTGTGTGTGTGTGTGTGTGTGTGTGTTTTGGAGATTATATTGCTTGGTTATATTCTTTATTTGGTCATGTGTGAGGTGAGAAATTATAAAATTCACGTGATGAGTAGCTGGGTTGGACTTGGTACTACATATTTAGGTTCTGAAAGGGCGAACATAACGTTGGAAGCAATGATTTTTACAGGAAAATTTCCCTAAAAGGCTGCATAGATTTTCAGTGTAGACAAGCTGCTATGCCATGATCAAGTTGTGACCCTTGGTTGCACTTCTTGTGTTTGAAGTGGTCCATATGTACCTTTCTTCTTATGAATGCTCAGGTTCTGTTCACCAAATTTTTTGACTGATTTTCCATTGGCACTATCTCTACTGCAGTATTGCATGCATAAAACTTGAGGAGTATGAGACTGCTAAGGCAGCCTTGGAAGCAGGAGCACCTTTGGCACCTGAAGAGTCTAGATTCATTAACCTGATCAAAGAATGTAATGAGTGCATTGCAAGTATGTAGTTCTGTTTTACGATCATCGGTGTGAAAACTTGGTCAATTTATTCATATTCTACTAATTGAAACAAAATTGTTCAGTAAGGTATTAGCATTTTTTAGGTCTTTATAATGATCTTGCGAACAAATTTTTCATGTCCTTTCAGAGGAAACTTGTGAGTCGACAAACCAAGCAGCGAAGACCCCAGTAAATACTGTTTCCATAAAAGAAGAGCGAGAAGAAATTTCTAGTCAGGCTCCAATCGAAGTACCTTCCAAGCTGCCAAAGTATAGGTTAGTGCAAATTTGTGCTTTTGTATCTTTGCAGACACCCTCACTTCCATTGCTTGTGATTTTCAAAAGTTCTAGTGACTTTAAATTTGGCAATGCTGATAATGGATTGCTTTTATCTTAAAAATTTTAAGTATTGTGTCTCATTTTGACAGAATACTAGCATTTTTATGTTTTTTCCTCATACTAAATCGCAATTGACCTGCTGAGTTGTACAGGCACGAATTCTACCAGAAGCCAGAAGAGGTGGTTGTGACCATATTTGCAAAGGGCATACCAGCCAGCAGTGTTGCTGTTGATTTTGGTGAACAGATTGTATGCACATCAATCAAAAATCCATTTCTTTGTTCATTTTTCTGGATCCAAGGAGTTGGACTTATAACTTCTAACTCTTGCTGATTGCTTTGCAGCTAAGTGTTAGCATTAACGTTCCTGGTGAAGATGCATACCATTTTCAACCTCGCTTATTTGGGAAGGTAGTGATTGAAAAACGTGTTTCTGAATCTACTGCTTGTTTGAGCAAGCTATAATTGTTTTATTGTTTAGTATTTGCTTCTTTGACATGAGAGGAATGAAGGGTTGTCTAAAATAATTAGTGTCTTGTACTACTGCTATGCTGAGTCCTTTCTTCTTCCACTTTTCTGTACTACTGTAGGGGCAACTTTTTTCCCCGTACTTATTGTGGATGCAAATTTTATGCAAACAGATAATACCTGACAAGTGCAAGTTTAACGTATTGTCCACCAAAGTTGAAATCCGCCTTGCAAAAGCTGAACCAGGTCTGCACTGGGCAACTCTTGAATACAACATGGAGACAGCAGTGGTACAAAGGATCGCTGTACCCTCTGCTGGTATGTCAAATTGCTAGCAATACAACTGTTTTCTTATAAGAACTGGAGGTTGAACTGCTTGTGGAATCCATTCTTCTAAAATGTTTTCTTTAACCACCTTCCTGTTGCTCATTGTTGTTTTCAAGATGATATATTTTACATGTTACATCATGCATTATTAAGCATAATTCATTATTAATTGTGAGATTTAATTTAGGACATTTTCTCAGCTAACTTAGTGATTTTTTTTTGAAGTCCATTTGTGTAACTAACATCCAAGAGAACCAATGACTTATTGTGGGATGATGCATGTGTGATGAAATGCATTTCCCAAGGGGTCAGGGCTTGTTTTGGAACTGTTTATCCTAAAATTGTCTTGGTGGGATCAGGGCTGCTCTAAGCCTGCAAGTGGTAGCTTGAATTAATGCATGCTGCATACTCTTTGCTAGTATTGCCTCGCATCTCTCATTGATGAATTTGTTTTTCATGATGAATGGTGCAGAAATTGCTCAGAAGCCTGCCTATCCCTCATCAAAACCAAAAAGAGTTGATTGGGACAAGCTTGAAGCTGAAGTGAAGAAGGAGGTAATACTTGTTGATTCTGTGTGTGTTGTGTTCATTTCTTACAGAAGTCATAGAACCATGTTCTTAATTGGAGCGTGAGATATCATTTATGGATTTCAGGAGAAAGAAGAGAAGCTAGATGGGGATGCAGCTTTGAACAAATTTTTCCGAGAAATTTACCAAGATGCCGATGAAGACACTAGAAGAGCCATGAAAAAATCTTTTGTAAGGCCTTTAAATTCATTATCATATAGCACTGAAAAAATATGTTTATATAGTGCTAAATCCAATAAATTGAAAGCAAAAGGAACTGCTTCCTAATGTTTGCGCTTTTTCTTTTTTTCTTTTTTTTACACAAAAGGTTGAGTCGAATGGAACGGTGCTGTCCACAAACTGGAAAGAAGTGGGTACTAAGAAGGTGGAAGGAAGCCCTCCTGATGGTATGGAAATGAGAAAATGGGAGTACTGAGCCATTTTTTCTGATAATCAAATGTATTGTAACCTGAAACTCTGCGTTTTTGTTCTGTGGATGGGATGATGTTCAGTTCGTGTTTTTTTTTATTTATAAAAAACTGTGCTAAACAGAATAGGCTTGACTGTTTGTGTTTCTTTCTTTCGGGCTGTACCGGTGTTGTTTAGTATTGCAGAGAAGTGTTTCTTTTTCTTTTGTAAAATATGTCTCATGTCTTGACTGCTTTCGCTGGTATTTCAGTCTTCAATTTGACTAATCTACACGTCCTGCTCCTCCTTCCCATCTCCTGTTTTTTTCAACTTGTGTTGTGCTTCAGTTTATGTAGTGTTGAAACGAGTTGGTGGCTCGCATTATGCTGCCAGTCAGACTGAACAGGTAAAATTATTTAATTTTATATATTTTTCTTAAACTTTGTAATTTTTTTTTAAAAAAAACTTAATTTGTTCTTCTTCATGCATTTATTCTTAAATTAAAAATTGTAATAATTTAAATAGAAAATTAAACGTAGAAGTTAAAAGAATACTTTAATAGTTTTTTCATACGATTGCATTAAAAAAATAAAGTAATAATTGATATAAGAAGTTGTATAAAAATTAATAAATGTTTATCCTTATTTAATTTTTATGAAAAAAATATTTTTTTTAAGGTATATAAATTTAATTTATATATGTTTATTAACAAAATAATCAATAATATTAACATAAAAAATTATATTTAAATAATTAGAAAACTTTTTTAAAGTATTATTTAACTTATTTTATATAAAAAAATATTTTTAAAATATATATAAAATAAAAAATAATTGATATTGTGTGTATAAATAGATGACTATTGTCTAATGAAACAAATAATATATATAATACTAGTAGATTAAGAGTAGTAGATTAAGAGTTCATGGCATAAAAAAAAAAAATTAATACAAAAAAAACATAAGCAATAAGGAATATGTTAAAAAAAATCCATATATAAAAATGTATCATAGATTAATAGCCCACTAATAAAATGTATTGTGGATTATAATAATAATTATGAATGGTAGAGATGTAGATTAAAATAATAATAATGTGAAAATATTGAGGGACCAAAATGTAAAGTTTGTATAATTTGAATATAAATGCAGTAAATCTAAGGTGGACAAACTGCCAAAAACGATGATAATGATCGAAGGGTCTAGAAGAATGAACAGTGAAAATTGGTGTACGTGAATAGTAAAACCCTCATGAGCTTTCAGTTTTTCTTACAGCATGTAGGATTTTATTGATTTGATTTATTCAAGTCAGGTAAAACGACCCTTTACTCTCTACTAGCTTCGTGATTGTCATTGCCGTTGGTTTTTTAGCTTTTGTTGCCCTTATTTTATAAATAAAAGTTATAAATATTTGGTAATGTTTATTTTAAAGTTATAATGTATTTATTATTGCTTGGGTGATATTAAATTATTAGAAGTATTATTAATTTTTTTAATAATGAACTCAATTATTGTTGTACGATATTAAGCTATTATAAATATAATAATATTTAATTAATAAAATAATTAAAAATATATGAATTAGAATAAATTTATTAAGTTTTTTTTTAAACTTTTTTATAAATTTAGGAATTTATTTAAAAAATCAACAAATTTACATATTTTAGAAAATTTTATGAATCAATAAGCGTCAAGTAAGAGATGCTAAGGGTAGGTTCGATAACAATTAAGGATCAAGTAAGGGTAAGAGACGCTTAAGTGTATTCATGGCTGCTTTCATATATAAAAATAGATTATAAGAAATATATTATTCATTAATACTCTCAAGTAGCATTTGATAATGTGATACATGTGTTTTTGTTTTTGTAAAGATGCGTTTGAATTGAAAATCTATCAAATTTGATTTTTTTTTTTTATGTGTTTTTAACATATTAAAACCATCTAAAAATACCTCAAAAAACATCAAATGCATTTTTAAAAGATTGTCAAACGCTTGATTTTTTTTTATGTGTTTTTAACATATCAAAACCATTCAAAAATACCTAAAAAAACATAAAATGCATTTTTAAAAGATTTTCAAACGCAATGCCAATACTCAATTACCAAAAACTATCTTAGTTTCAGAAAAAAAGAAAAAGAAAAAGAAAACTATATTTATCTAACCTTTGATCTTTCTATATTTTATAAACCATATTAAAAAAATAGAAATAATAGAACTAAGAATTAATAATTGTTGGCTCTCGAGTTATAAAATACACAACATTTTGCCAATATCTGACCAGGATAGAAAGACAGAGTAAATTATAAATTAATATTTCTAGTTTTGGAAAAAAAAATAATTAGTTTTTTTTTCAAAGATTAATTATTCCCTTTTTTTTGTGTTTTTGTCTTTAAAATAAATATCATAGAATTGACGAAATTTTTTTTAAAAATTAATTAATATTAGATTAAACATGATTAATATTAATTTAAAAAATAAATAATTTATTTTATTAAAAAATTAATTAATTTGCTTCTGAAGCTAGAGGGATTAATTAATAATTACAATAAAACTAAAAGAAAATGAAAAACCACTATAGTACTTTACAGTTCATTTACTATTCACCTTTTTTTTTTTTTTTTCGGTTGTTGGCTTCCAAGCTTTTACATTTTTTTTTTTTTGTTTGGATTGCTAGCTTCAAAGTTTGTAAGGAAATTGCTTTTTATTTTGGTCCCTTTTTTCTAATTTTTTATTTTAATTATTAAAATTTTATTACATTTAATTTTTATCCCTATAATAAATATTAAAATTTTATTATATTTGATTTTTATTCCTATAACAAATATTTTTTCTTCCAAGCTTGATATTTATTATATTTGTGATATGTTTTTAATTTGATCATTAAGTTTTACATGTTTGATTTTTATCCTTACTATATTAAAACTAAATAAAATTTACTATCCGAAGCTTTTTTATTATTGTTATTTATTTTTATGGCTTTTATTGAAACTTTTCTTTCTATTATAATTCCTATTTTGTGATTTTTTCTTTATTTTCTTCATTAAATTTATTAGAATTTTTTTTTAGTCTCTGTTTTGTAATTGTTTTTTATTTTGATCACTAAATTTTTATTATATTTGATTTTTTTCCTTTGCAAGAAACTATTTTTTACTGTTAATAAAACTTTTTGTTACATTTTAATTTTTTTTTGTGTTCTTTCATTTATTTTGATCATTAAATTTTTATTATATTTAATTATTATTCATTTTATACTAAAATTAAATACAGTTTAACTATTCTAAGTTTTTTTTTTGTTTTTAGTAAAAAATATTTTCTTTTTTGATTCTTATTTCATTAATTTTTTTATTTTGGTCATTAAAAAATTGTAATATTTTACTTTTGTTCCTACCTTATGCATAATGAATTTATTTTAGACTTATTGTTTATAATTTTTTTTTAGTGAAAGTGTTTTTTAGTTATTTTGATCTTTATTTTGTTTTGATCATTTAATTTTTATCGTGCATAATTTTATCTTTATTTTCTTTGCCAAATTCTCGATTTGCTTGAAGGTTTTTTGTCTTTTTGATTTAGATGGTTTTTCTGTCTCATTAACAAATTACGGATGAATAATATATAGTAAAAATTAATCATCTAAAATTAAAAAAATTACTACATTATTATTTTGATTATCTTTTATTATAGATATTTTAATTATATCAAATAATATCTAATTAGCGACATTATATTATTCAACTTTGTAGACTTTTTATTTAACTAACCTTGCTGTAAATTATGAAATACATGTTCTAGTTTTTTTTTTTCAAATTTTTTTCGCATGATACTTGTAAATAATTATTTTTAAATTTTAAATTTTAAATTAATTAATATATAAAAATATTGTATAGCTCACATCGCGACAACGGGTGGATGTATGCTAGTTTACCCCTAAAATGCTGGCACAGGCACAGCATTAAAAAAAAAAAAAAAACGCTCCACGACAGGTCGTTTGAAGCTCACAACTTCCCAAAGCCCAAAGAAAGGCCTCCTTCCTCTCCGACTCCAGTAGCGCTCTGTTTCTTCTCCAGGTAACCACACCGATCTATCATTTTCTTTGATGATTATCATCTCTCAGTCTCCCAATCTTCATTTTTTTTGAATCAGGATCTGTTAGATTCAATCTTAAGAACCCAAAAAGATGCAGTTTTTTGGAGGGTCAGACATAAGTCCATCACCACCACCACCAACAGCATCAGGGCACAATGCACACATGATGTATATCTTTAATAGGAGTGGAATTTGTTTGCTTTACAGAGAATGGAACCGTCCACTTCACACTCTTAATGCTCAGCAAGATCATAAGCTCATGTTTGGTTTGCTCTTCTCTCTCAAATCCTTGACTGCCAAGATGGATCCCACAAGGTTTTCCTTTTCTTTTTCGTATTTTTCTTATGTTTAACTTTTTCTTGCTGTTTTGTTTCTGAGGTAGCTGAATTTTGATCAAAGATCCAATTTTTAGAAACATAGAATTACAATAGAATATCATCACACAATTTTATTTATTTTTAGTAGTTGTAATTTTGAGTAAGGATTTAAATTTAGAACCATAGAATGATGATTGAATGTGATTTTGGTGCATGGTAGCTCTTACCTTTTTTATTTTTTATTTTTATTTTCTTGGGATGTCTTGACCTGCTCATACGGGCAAGTTTTATCCTGGGGTTGCTCTGAGAGATCCTTTATTTCTTGTAAAATCTGGGATGCTCCTCCTTTTTTATTTGTCTGGCTGTGATTTTGTGATAAGATTCAACTTTCAGAATCATAGGATGCTAATTTAATATGATATTCATGAGTGGTTGAGAAGTGGATAGTTCATCATTAGGATCTGTAACATTTGGATGCTCCTTTTGATATTGAGTAGTTGTGATTCTGAGTAAAGATTCAAAATCCTGATTCAATTGTTGGTTGGTTATGAGTGATATTATAGGGACGTTACTTATTTGCAGCATTTGAGATTGTATTGATTTTTTTTTTTTTCGTCCTGCAGTGCAGATAAAGGAAACCTTGGGGTGCCTCAATTACCAGGGCAAGGCTGTTCATTTCACAGTTTTCGTACAAATACATACAAGCTTAGTTTCATGGAAACTCCTTCTGGGATGAAGGTCAGATTTTTGTTCTTTATATGCTCTCATGCTGTTGACATCATGAATCTTAGACTGAATTCTGATTATTTAAAAGCATTTTTTGCTTTGCATTTCTTGTTGTGTGCTTGATTGTTAGTATGGGATTGTGCAATTTCAGTTTTTGGGCTTGCTAATGTGGATTGTGGAACAAGAAATTAATTACGTTAGGAAAGATTTCATGTCACTTGTGATGCCATGGTGAATTTTAAGTTAGTCTTGATTTTATTGAAGGTCTGATGTGTAATGTATCCCTTAAACTTTGCAATTTTGCCGAAGTGATGTGATATGGTTTCCAGTATGGTGGATAATTTAGTGGGAATGCTTCATTTAGTTTGTACAACTTTAGAAGAGCATAACAGTGTCTGAGAGATCATAGATGACAGAACTTGCCCATAAATCAGGTACAAACTGTTTAAAATACTTAAAGGAAATTGGGATGTGCCTAAACGTTTTAGATTAACCTTTCAGAACTTGCATTGACTTGTTTTTCTTATAGCAGGCTTGTACAAGTGTCATGATCAATAGTAACTCTTAATTCTGCTTGAATTGCTGTTGCATTTGACACTTTAAGCAATATCAGGAATAGCAGGCTTGCATAAGTGTCAATTTTGACGAGTAACTCTTAATTCTTCTTAAAATCTAGTTCCAATCGAAGTTTTCAAAAAATACCATGAATAAAATTCACATAGTTCACTGGGCTGTCCAATAATGATGTCATCCTTATGGTTGAGAAATGTAGCGCTCGGACATCCCTTTTTGCCATAGCAGCTTCATGCCCTCATTCTCAACAATAGTGTGATTATGCAAGAGCTAATTCTGTAGCAGCACCAAGTTCTCATATTATATTCTGTTGTTATTCTTGTACTTTTTAATTGGCATCAAGTATGTGTTTATTCACTGTGTAGAGTGCCATTGTATGCTACCAATTATCTCATATCTTTATGTATTCCTTGTGCAGATTATTCTGCTTACTCATCCTCGTACTGGTGATCTACGGGAATCCTTGAAGTACATTTATAACTTGTATGTTGAATATGTAGTCAAGAACCCACTCTATGCTCCTGGAACTCCTATCAGGTAATACAAAGTCCTACTTTGCAAAAAAGTCACATGCAAAATAACACCTCATTTAGTAAATACAAGATAAACAATGGAAGGAGCTGAAATTCTCCCCACTGACGAAAGATTGTCATGTGATCTAAAAATGTAGTCTTTTTCTGTCTATCCTTCAAAGAGGTATGCTGCAAAGTTCTTCCTCATGAACTTTTGTTCTGTTCTTGACCCAAAAATTGTTAATGGGATCTTGTATTACCTGCACAAAAACAATACCTCCAGGCTCTAAGCATTCAGCTTCACCTTTTATGAAGCTTCCATGACCCTGGAGGATCTCGTAGGAGAATTGCCAACTCTGAACTGCTTATAGACAACACCAAGTGTAATGGTAGATTATTGACAGATTCAATTGCTTCGTAAAAGCACCATTATTTTGTTTAGAAAAAATTACTAATAATTAAAGCCTGGCCCTATGTAATTCCAAAGTAATCCACACACACAGTATGCACAATCATACATGCATTCATGTCTGAATTCCTCCGTCTTCTGTTGACAATTGCTGGCACTGAATTTGATTAGTTATTCTTCTGAGAGTAATAGCTGGATGGTTATATTTAACTAAATGAATTTGTAATTACTTTCTGTAGGTGTGATTTGTTCAACACTTCTCTTGACCAATATGTAAGAAGCATTTCTTAGAACCTCAGGTAGTAAGCTGTAATCTTGTTATCCGCCGCAACGTGCATGATTTTGATTCTCCTTTATACTGAAAAAAAGAAGCTAGGGTTTCGGTATTACACCCTATTCTTCATACCAAGACCCATGTAAAACTTGAGATTTGGTTCTGGAAAAGGTCAGCGGAACTGTCTACTATCTGTTGATACTATGTGACTTTATAATTTCAAGAATGCGATAGAAGTGAGATGCATGCTCTTTCATTTTAGTTGATAAACTTAGGCATACAGTGAATGTTATTTTCTATTATTAAGGCGTTGATTTCTGTATCAAAATCAATGTTGAAAAACTGGGGGAATTTGGGGTGTTCTTGATATAAATGTGAGAATCAATTTGTTTTAGCGAAGTTGCTTCTTGTGCTCATTGTCTGATTTGGTAAGGACATTTTGGGCCCTCATTAACTTTGCTGTATATAAAATTGTTGTGAATCCAAGCCAGTCTCAATTAACTCCTCATTTTCAGCATCAAAGAATCATCACTTTTCTCTTGATCAAAGATTGGTTGTAAATCTCAATTTATAGAAAAATGAGGGTTTTTACAATCTTCAACTTCAAGGACATTTTCAGCTTCCTCGACAAATTTTTGTGGTCGATTCCAATCTACAAAAGAACTAGAATCATAAAAAATTTCAACTTCGGGATCATCTTATTGTTTATGGATTTTTTTCGTTTTTGCTTTTGGAAAACAAGGGCATCAAGCTTGCTCAAGATTTTCTACCGAGGGTCTCATATTTAATATAGCAGGATATTAAAGGGATACCATAGTTTGGATAATAATCCTATACAACCGGACAGGATGATACTGGATGTTCAATGGATGGAGTAAAATTGCCATCTCTATTATATATATAAATAAAGCATGTCTTTATATTATTAAAAGTTATACTCCAAAGGAAAACAAAAGTTTGTCTAACACTCTGTTTCTGCTGCTAACGTGAAAACTAAAGAGAGATTGAAAAATACATCTAAGTTGGAATACGACATTAGCATTAATATAAACAAATGGATAATTCATGATTAAAGTTAGGTGTTTGATATAATAATAATTAAAAATGGCATATCATCAGTTTGTGGTAATTCTATAAATTAGAGTGTAATATAAAATCATTTTAACCGACTTCACCATTTTTTTGAGACACCTGGTTGAAGTTGCTGCTTGTGTTGGAGGAAGAGACCTAGTTGAAGGAGGAGATGCTACAAGGAGAGACCTAGTTGAAGAAGGAGACGTTACAGCTGTTACAAGAACTTGATATGTTAATACTCCCCCACAGACGGATAGTGGGCTTTTGCCAACTGTAAGTTTGTCTCTTAAGAAAGCAAACTATGTACTAGATAGGGGTTTAGTGAAGATATTCACTATCTGATCCTAACTGGTGATAAACTTCACCTGTAAGCTCCCCCTGGCGACCAGTTTCTGACAAAATGAAAATCAATTTCAATATGTTTCATACGAGCATGAAAAACTGGATTGACTGCTAGGTAAGTGGCCCCTATACTGTCACACCAAATTGTAGAAACCGTATGCTAAGGCAACCCAAGTTCAGTTAGAAGAGAAGACACCCAAATCATTTCTGCAGCCAAATTAGCCACTGCCTTGTATTCTGCTTCTGTGGAGCTATGGGCTACTATTTTTTGTTTGGAGGATTTTCAGGAGATTAAATTTGGACCAAGAAAAATAGCATAACCACACGTTGGTTCTCTATCATCCAGTGAATCTGTCCAATCAGAGTCTGAAAAACTTGAAAGGAGGTGGAGTTGGATTTACAAAGGTGGAGGCCATGATTTGTAGTGTGTCTCAAGTAACACAATATGCATTTAACAACAATCCAATGGTCCGACAGTGGAACATGCATAAACTGACAGACTTTATTCACTGCATAAGTAATGTCAGGACGTGTTAAGGTGACATATTGTAAGGCGCCTACAATTTGATCATATAAAGTAGGGTCATCAATCATCAAAGACAGAGCTTGCTGTGTTGCTTAGCTTGGAGGTGGTTGGCATGGGTGTTGTGACAGGTCGGCAGTTCATCATGCCATGCTTCATCCAAATCTCATTGATGTATTTTCGCTAAGATAGAATAATTCCCTGCATAGTTGGAACTACCTAAATAGCCAGGAAGAAGCTGATGGATCTAAAGTCTACCATGGCAAATCGAGAGTTCATAGCAGTTATTATAGAGTGCAAGAGAGAAGAGTGGTTACCCATGATTATGATATCATCAACATAAACAAGAAGGAAGACTTTGTGGCCATCCCTATTGTAGACAAATAATGAAGAGTCAGTTTTGGAACTAACAAAGCCAAAATCAAGTAGAAACTTTTTGAGACATGAGAACTAGGCCCTCGGTGACTGCTTCAATCCATAGAGTGATTTGTACAGCTTACACACATAATCAAGAAATCGTATGTCAACAAACCCCACTGGTTGAGACATAAATACCTCCTCCACTAGTCTTCCATTTAGAAATGCATTGTGTACGTCCAATTGATGAATTTCCTAACTAAAAGAGACCGCTAGTGATAGGACACATCTGATTGTAGAAGGCTTGACCACCGGACTGAATGTTTCACCATAATCAACTCCTTCTTGTTGATGGTAGCCTTTAGCTACTAACCGTGCCTTATATCTCTCAATGCTTCCATCAGCTTTCTTCTTTGTCCTAAAAACCCACTTGTTGCGAATTACATTCATAGAAGCCATTAGAGACACTAAGCTCTAAGTGTGAGTTTTAAGTAGGGCATTGGACTCATTGGACATGGCAGATCGCCACTCTGCATACTTTCTTGCTTCGAAAATACATGTGGGTGTTTCTGAAATTGGGGCTGATGAAGTAGCTAATGATGCAAAGGATTTGAACAAAGGACCCATGGAACGGAGCACCATGGGATGTGTGTGTGGAGGTTCAGAAGCTTGTAGCTACTTTAGGTACTGGGCAAATCGGAAGCTAAATCATAGTCCCTAAAATCCAAAATCAGGTTCAAGCCAGGTGAGGTGGGGAAAGGATTAATGGGACAAGTGGAGGAAAGAATAGGGTTTGGTGATTTGTGCTGCTGGGCATGTTTGTGGAGAATAGGGGAAGATGGAAGTTGTTGGACAGGAGAGGCAGTAGGAGCAGCCGTTGTAGTTTTGAAATTAAAGATGTGAGGGTTCAGATTTTATGGTGGGGAGGGATTACTAAGCTAGGGGTTGTGGGCTGATTGTGGACGGGCTGTTGGTGAAATGATGTTATGGGAGAGGTGGGTTGGGCTGGGCTGGACTGTCCAGTAAAGAGGTGGTGGGCGTTTTGATGATGTGTGCCTAGTTTGGTGATTTGGGTTGTTTGCAAGGGAGATGAATTAGTGGAATTGTTATGATACAAGGAGTTATGGGACTGTCCAATGGAGAGCTTATAGGCACTTTGGTGATGTGGGCTTGGTTTAGTGATTTCGGGGTGGGTTTGGGCGGGCTGCAAAGGAAATGAATTTGTGGAATTGTTATGATATAAGGAGTTATGGGCTGACAGTAGGTTGTTTAGGCATGTGTTGGGAATGTAGAAGGATTGCAAGCGTGGGTTTGTGCAGTAGCCATGGAGTGATGCTGCCTTGAAGAATTTGACATGGTAGGGAATTGGACCCAAATAGGGATAGAGGCTCGATGAGAAATTGCAGCTTGAGAAAAATTTGGTGTGGGCAAATCTTTGGATAGAGCAAATGGAAAATTCATTTCTACAAAGCAAACATGACGAGCGATATAAAATTGGTTTTTAGATGTGTCAAGATAGCAATATCCTAAGTGGGATGAACTCTAGCCAAGAAAGACACAAGGAGTAGAGCGAAAATCCATTTTTTTTTGTTGTAAGGTCATAAGTAAAGAAAGCATAGGCACGTAAATATTTTCAAAAAGGAGTAGCCCTGTAGTCTATTAAAGACAATTTGGAATGAAGATTTATTATTAGTGACAGACAATGGCCTGCGATTAATGAGAAAGACTACAATTTCAAATGCAAAATGCCAATATTTCTTTAGGACTTTAGCTTCACCTAATAAGGTAAGATCTGTTTCTACAATATGACAGTACACCTCTCAACAGATCCATTTTGTTCATATGTATATGGACACATAATACAATGTAGTATACCAATCAATTTAAAAAATTTGCTGAGACTTCAAAATTCTCCACCCCAAATAGTTTGAATTTGTTTAATTTGACAATTAAATTGACATTCAACTAATTTTTGAGATTGAAAAAATGTTGCAAAGACATCAAATATTTTACATAAAGAAAAATGCCAATAAATTTTGAGAAATGATCAATAAACATGACATAATATTTATGGCCATTAACAGAGTTAGTAGGTAAAGGTCCCCATACATCACTAAAACCAAATTAAAAAAACTAGTACTTAAATGAGAAGATGAAGATAAATGTAAACAACTTGCTTTTCTTAACGGATAGGATAAGCAAGGACTAAATAATTTAGTAGAAGATGATAAATTATGAGTTTTTAAAATAGAGGACAAGACATAATCATGCGGATGACCCAATCTGGAGTGCTAGAGTTATGGGGAAGCACAAATAGAATACGTTTGAGGACGAAAAGGAGTGGTGGAATGTGGTAGGATAGAGAGGTCTACCTCACTCGAGCCAAAAAGAAGAGGGGTCTTGTGTACCTAGTCCTTGACATAAAAAGAAGAGGGGTGAAATTCTCAAAATATATCATTGTCAAGGGCTAATCACTAAATAGATAATAAAGGCTCGATTATGCATCGTACATGGAGAACATCAAGTAATTTGAGGTTCTTAGAGAGAGTATGAATGATACTTGAACCAATGTGGTAAATAGGTAAGTACTCACTATTGAGAACTCGTAGCGATTCGGAACCCAAATACGGTTCATAAGTGTCGAGAGTTGCCAAGTCGGGTGTTATATGGTGGGAAGCACCGGCGTTAGGACACCAAGACTATGGAGGAGCAATAGAGAAGGTCGAAATATTGGCGGAAGGACGAAATGATTGGAGCATTTTGGTAGTGCTGTCACGAGCACCCAAATTAACTCCTAAACTCCCGTAAAAACAAATAAATACAGCTAGGGAGAGTAGGGATTGATCCCACGAGGAACTCAATTCGTTAGTTGTTACGGATGTCCAAAACAACAAGTAAATATCGGGGTTTGGTTATGAAGGATTTCAACTCCGAAATTTAAAGACAAAAATATAAACTTCAACAACTTAATTAAACGAAATGAACAATCCGAAACAAACCTTGGTTCAGGATACATCATCTTTTGAAATTCGAGATTTATCATCGATGCACTAAAAGTATCAGTTGATCATTCAAATATTTGTTGGGATATTTAAACCAATCTTTCCTTATGTCTAGCCAATTGAAAATATGTATTCCAATAAGCTCTTATTGTTTAACAACCCTAGATACGATCATAAGATTTAATTAAACAATAGCCTTAGGTATTAGAAAGATCAACAAAGCAAGTCAACATAACACATGTAGTTATATTTAATCAAGTTGAACAATCTCCTTAAAAGTTGTGAGTTCTTGACGCAGCAAACAATATACTTTTAGTTGCTATCGAGTTAAAGTGATTGAACAATTACGGATCCAATATTTAACATAGCTTAAGATCGTTTTAGCCTATAAAATAATTGCGCAATTTAGCAAATAAACCAAACAATCATATAAATAAGTATAGAAGAGAGTTCAATACTTAAATGAATTAGACTTGAATTAATATTAAAAACACGCACCTCAAAAATCGTTTCCTTCCAAAAGATTCTGCTCCTTCACCAAGGAAAGGTAATTTAGCTACTCCCGAACATGGTGGTCGAAATATTCGGAGAAAAAGAAAAGAACAATTCTTTTTAGGGTTACAAAATTTAGAGCCTCTGCATCATCGGTCTTCTATTCTATTTATAGGCTCCTTTTTCTCTCTCCAATATGCCAAAAAGATATGATTCGATCTCCCTTGCCTTAAAGATAGCAATCGCCTTAAGCGAAAGATCGCACAAAATTTATTTCCTAATTGAACTCTGCTGTTAGGATTGGGTTTCGCGTGCCCATGCATTCTTCTATTGTAAGTTGGAACTATCTTCTGCACTGCGCGCCCAAGCATTCGACTCGCCCATGCTATATTCACAAAGCTGAGCTTTAAAACGAGTCTTTTTAACCACATTTGTTCCCACTTCGGTAATTTAGCACCTGCGATAAAAAGGCATTAAAACTTCACTTTGGAACAATATCGAACCATAGAATATGATTAAATGAGATGTCCAAACATATAAAATTGCTCTGCTATCACATTTGTTGAGGACAGTGCAAAGCCGTATAGGTCCAAGAAGAGCAAATTTGACATTTATTTTTATGCTCATTTTGGAATTTATTTTTATGCTCATTTTGGAACCCGTTGCCCCTATTATCAGAAGAAAAATTAGGCACACACTTGTTGGAATATCTGCCACATCCTCGCCCACGAAAGGAATGACCCCTTCCATGGGTACCATTGCTAAAACGGTTAGTGTTGAATCCATTAGATTTGTGAATTAAATGAGCAGATGGAGGTGTGCGCAACAAGGCCATGGTTGTCGTAGAGGGTGATGAATCAAAGGAGGATTCATGTATCAAAATCTCATGGCTCAGAAGGAGACTATGAAGATCAGTAACGTTTACTGGTTCTGAATGGGTAGATAGAATAGTGACAAGATCTTTGAAGTCACTTGATAATCCTTTGAAAACATATAGATTGAAATCAATGGTTGAAAGAGGTTGGCCAACAGCAGTGAGTTCATCACTGTATGATTTTGCATGTTGTAAGTACTGAGACACAGGTTCAGTAGAGTCTTGGCGGAGTTTCTACAAGGCAAGGTGTAAGGTCATGAGGCGTGTGCTAGAGGGAGAAGTAAGAGCACGTTTAAGAACAGACCAAACATCTTTGAAAGTAGTGCAGTCAATGATCATTGGAAGAACTTCGTTACAAAGAGATGAAATAAGTGTGCTCATCAGGGATTGGTCTTGCTGTTCCAAGCAAGGTAGGATGGATTTGGTTGAGGGATATCAGTTTCAGCAGAAAGAGTGTGGCATGGGGGATAGGGAGTAGATCCATCAATGAAGCCAAAGAGGCCTTGGCCAAGTAAAAATGGCTTCATTTGAACATGCCAAAGTAGAAAATTGGTGTTGGTAAGTTTCAGAGAGATGAGCATGAGTGGGTTGAGTGATTGGGTGTGGATTGGGTGAGGTTTGTAGTGGGGTAGCAATGGAAGAGGGTGTACTAGTGGAAGAGGTCATGGAGAGTTGCTCGGAGAAGATGAGTAGTGGATCTGAAAAAAAAGAAAAAAAAAAAAAAAGAAAAGAAGCTACCGCAGTTTTGCCTTTATTGCTCTGATACTAGATTAAATCTTAAGGAGAGGAATATATAATGTATTTGCTTAACTTTATTCCAGTTTGTCACTCTTCCTTTAACAGGCTTACAAGTGTGTAGAGAGTAGGACTCTTGAAGTTTTACAATTCCTATCTATTTACAAAGATAATTCTTAGCTACTGTTATAGTGTTTGCCGTGTCTGCTGCTGCTGTAAAGTGCCGTGACTTGTGCTGATTCTGGAGGAAGAGAACTAGTTGAAGCTGCTGCTTGTGCTGGAGGAAGAGACCTGGCTGAAGGAGGAGAGGCTACGGGGAGAGACATAGTTGAAGAAGGAGACGTTACAGCTGTTACAGGAACTTGAGTTGTTAATAAGCATTAGAACTTTGATGATTAAATAGAGTTGAGACATAGTAAGTCAACTAACTGTATGAAGTCAAACTAACACAGCTATATTACCAAAATTATGTAAAGGGTTACTAAGACTGAAATTCGATAGTACAAAGGCATACAGGCAAGGTGTGCACCTAGAATAACAATCTGGGAAATGTAAATCATAAAATTTGATACTTTCCGTGAATGAAACGCTGTAGGTCTTTTGCTTGCTGTTATGCCCCAAGTTCATTCGATCACACATATTCGATACATAATCCATGCCCTTGTCGGATCGTTTGGAATAGGCTTTGATTATGGCTGACTAAAATGGTGATTCTGTGTGTAAATCTTTACTTCCAATAATTTGACACTCGCTCGTGTTGCTACACATATAACGGGAATTTGTATCTTCCTGTGGGCTCAATATTTCAGTTGGAAGCAAAAAAATATAGGACTTGAAAGCTTTAGTCTTACAAGTACATACCCTTCTACTTTCAGCACTCTCTCCCGAAGGCGCAGGCTACGAAGTCCCATGCTGGCGACTCCTCTCGTAAATAAATTTTCCACTGCTCATTAGTAGAGCAAGAAATTGAACCCAAAAGGGGATGATGAACACAATGACATATGTGCTTAGGTATCTCTATATCTGTTCTAGTTTGGCTGTCAATCTCACCTCCCTTTTCAATATCAGCCGAAGATGTTGTTCCTTGCAGCTTGTCAATGTCATCATCCGACTCCCATTCCGAATTCCACTCAGACTCTTGGCTGTCAGTCTCGTCCCTTTCTTCAAAATTAGCACAAGATGTTGTTCCTTGCAGCCTGTCAATGTCATGAACCCACTCCCACTCAGACTCTGAGTTATTAAATGAATCTGGCTCCTCTACTATCACATGGACCCCAATTTCTTTCATTAGAGCGCCATTTCCAGATCCCAGATACAGTTCCAATTCCTCTCCACAATAACCTTCCATTTTCATTTCCCTTGCTCTTACACAAGTCACCCAAGATGCAAGGCGCTTAACAAAAAATCCTGGTTCGGTCAATTCATACAACTGAGTACCGTTGCTTTTATTTTTGATATTAAACCAAATTTTGGAACCATCATGTTTATCAGGTTCAAAGACGACCCAAATAGCCAACCATTCGAAAAATGAAGGTAAATGAAACGATAATGAACGTTGGTCTCCGCGATAGCTGAACCAATCTGGTATGCCATCATGATAGAAAACAATATCATACCACTTCCTCTTGCTGAATGCCTATATGTTGATTTCAAGGAAAGTTGAAATGTTAGACACCAACAATTAACATACTATATATATATATACACACACAAGATGTTTTAGCCTTTTAGGGGAAATATTTTATGAGATATTATATTTGTAATATAGGTATTAATGTTGGTAGCATGTGAAAGAAAATAGATTTTATTACATTTGAAATATAAAAGAAAGTAAATATAGGTAAATAAAAGAAAATCCCTAATAAAATGTTAGCCATTTATTTTAATTTAAATAACAAATTAAACTAACATGATTATTAATGATTGTGCGTGTGCCCAATAGAAATGGATAAAAAGATGTTACCTCAACAAGGCTCCTCTTACAATTTTTCGACAAACGGTAATCATCAAAGCAAATCTCCATTAAATCCAGACCTTCCATGCCCTCAATCTCCGTTAAATTTTGGCACCCACCTACGTGCAACTCTTTTGTATTTGATTGAATTGGCAGTCTCACCCTTTCCATTGACGTGCAATTATATGCAACCAGCTCCTCTAAACTTGAGGGAAGCTCTGAAATTAATAAAAGATATATGCAATCGGTAACGTTCAAAAATTGGAGCTTAGGAAGGTGGCAAATTCCAGAAGGCAGATTGAAGAATCTGTTTCCTGATAAATCCAATACTTCGAGAGAGGACAAACTCCTAAAATCAACACAATCCATTGCACCTTCGGACAAAACTATGGAATCGAGTTTTAGTTCTCTCAAAAAACTCCAACCAGCCAAAGAAGTTGGCAGCAAAGATTGCCAGTTCAAACCTCTTGGTGAAAGCCATGATGAAATCAGTGAAACACAAGATGTAGATGATGGTGAATCCTGATTGGAACTGTATCCACGCAATGACAAATTTCTGACACATTTTAAATGTACAATTGAAGAGAGAAGTTGCTCATTCTCAATTCCATCTGCTAGTAGCTGAGCTAAGGATTCCATATCACCCATGTGCTCCGGCAACTTCTCAAGTTGTGAGCACCCTGAAACATTCAAAGTTTCGAGAGATTTTACACAACAAATGCTTTCTGAGAGAATCTTTAGACTACAACATCCCTCCAAATTCAAGAAAACAAGCATCTTCAAATGTCCAATAGATTTTGGTATCTCAACTAAACTCGTGCAATTTTTAAGTATTAGTCTCTCTAAATACGAGAGTCCTATGAAGTCTGGCATTTTTGCAAGGTCCTTGCAATAGCTGAGATTGAGAATTTTCAGTTTGTTGAGGATCTGTCAAAACATTAAATAAGCAGAAGTACTCAAACAAAGCTAGTAAAGTGTAACGTGTAAAATTTAATTTTTGAAGCTGCATTTTACGTACCTTGGTCTCCTTCCAGAGTTCTTTGATCTTGCTATACTGCATATCAAGAGTAACAAGGTTGCCCAGTTCAAAATCGGATGGCAAGGATTTCAAAGGACATCCATGCCAACACAGCCATATCAACCCTTTGGGAAGAACTTTGAAACATCCAATGAGATGTACACCATTAATCTTGAGAAATTGTAAATGTTTCATCTCTGAAAGCGATTCTGTGCTCAACGGTTCTACTTTTGATGTTCTCACATCCAATGCAAGACCTTCCACAGCTTTCGTTCCCTGAAAACATCAAAATTCAATAGAGCTCTCATCTGATTGGTTGGAATTAGATCTATATAAAGGCTTCTTCTTCTTCTTCTTCTTCTTTTTTTTTTTCTTTTTTTTTTAAAGATTAGAAAAGAGGTTGAAAAACCAAAAACAGAGAGATACCACTCACTGTGATTTTGTGTAGAACATTATGAATAAGCATTTAGTTCTTACCATCTGGTTGATGAGTACATTCCATGCATCTTCATGATGCCAAATTCGATTGCGTTTTCCAAGATGGTCAGGTGACATTTTACGGATAATCTCTCTTCCCATGTCTCGTAACAAGTCATGCATGTTTATCTCACCCGAATCATTAATTGTTATTAAAGACCTTTCGATGAGAGTTCCCAAATCGTCTTCTGGATTGAAACCACAACGAGCTTCTAGTACCTTTGCTACATATTTTTTCTCTCCACCAATAAAAAAACATGCAACATCAAGGAATGTCTTCTGCAGTTTATCGTCATCCAGTCTGTCAAAACTTATTCTAAGCTTCTCTTGAATATCATGGTTTGGAATTTTTCTCAATTTATCAATGACACTTTCCCATCTAATTTTGTCTTTCTTGGACAAACAAGATCCCAAAACTTCAAGAGCCAAAGGAAGTCCTCCAGAGTAATTAACTACTTTGTTCGAGAGCTCCACATAATCCTTTGGTGGACACGAGTCCCTGAAGGCATGCCAACTGAAAAGCTGAAGGGACTCATCTTTATTCAATATTTTAGCTTGATATTTTACTATTGTCTGAAATCGATCCAGTAGATTTTCATTTTGAGTCGTAATGATTATTATACTTCCAACACCAAACGAACTTCCCTCTCCCATCAATGCATATATCTGCTTCTGGTTCTCCACATCATCAAGTACAACAAGAACTCTTTTGTGACAGAGTCGTTCTTTGATCAACCAGATTCCTCTATCTTCATTTTTTATCTTCCAACTGTCTCTTTTCAAAATTTCACAAAGAAGCTCTTCTTGGAATTGAACCAAGCCATTGGATTGTTGTGCTTTTTCTGCAACATTGTTAAGAAAGCAACTTCCCTCGAATCCAGTGTAGAGTTGATTAAATACAACCTTTGCTATAGTTGTCTTGCCAATTCCTGACATCCCATGTATACCAACAATTCGGACATAATTTTTTTCAGCTCTTAGCCAAGCAAACATATTATCAACACGAGAATCAATGCCTACTAGGTGCTTGGCAACATGGAAGTATTTGGGATTCAATTTATTCAACACATCTTCAACAATATTTTGAATAAATGTTGATTCGTGCCTGTTCATAAATATATAAACACAACTCATCAATGACAACATAATGATATATGTTCAAACATGTTTACTGCTACTCAGTATCATAAAACAAAGCTAATATATAATCTTTTATGACTATTCATAAAAATTGTGCTCTTACTGAGGTTTGCATGCATGTGGATCTTACAATGAAAAGACGTACCCATTTGCCATATCTTTTAGAGTGTATCCAGATAGATTTGAAGCCTCCTTTAGAGCTCCCCTCCACTTGTTGACCTTTTCCATTTCTTCCTTAAAGCGTCCTTCATGCACCTTAAAGGCTTCTGCAAAACTCCCAGTCTGTTTGCGAATATCAGATGGTTCAATATCATAAAATACCGGAAGAACAATCTGCCTGATGCTATTTTTACACTCCATAATCTTTGCTAGTTCCTCAAGACACCATGTTGATGAAGCATAACCTTTGGAGAAGACAACTATAGAAATCCTTGATTCCTCAATTGCCTTAAGGAGTTGTTGGGAGATTTCTTCTCCTCTAGGAAGTTCATTGTCATCACGAAATGTATGGATTCCTGCTCGAACTAGTGCATTATAAAGATGGTCTGTAAACTTCTTGCGAGTATCTTCCCCTCGAAAACTCAAAAAGACATCATAACTGTATCCAACTCTAGAGGAAGAATTAGAAGATGATTCATACTTGAAGGACATGGCCATGTTGTTTGCAGAGCGAAGGTTTTAGGTTATATTGTCTTTGGGGAAGGGATAGATCTGTTTTCAGGAGGTAAACAAGACATAGATATGTTATGAATACTAAATAACAAAAATCATACTCCAAAAGAAACTGAAAGAAAGCTGGAAAAAATAAGAGGAACAGTAGCAAGTGATATGTGCATACTCCAAGAGAGGAATTAATCATATAACAAAACTAGAAGAGCAAGAGCATTCAAGTTATGAATTACTATCTGAATGAGAATGGAAAAATATAGGCTTGTTTGGACAAAAATTATCTCATTCAATGTTCTCTCCAGTAGATCATAGGAAGTAGATAATAAAGAAATAGGACAGAGTCAATGGTTGTTTCTTTCTTGTTTTTCAATTTCTTAGCAACCAAACAGATCCAATGTTAACAAAACTAAATCAAATTAGCATGACATGATTAAAACTTCAAACAAAATGAAGATGGAAACTTATTGCATGATTTGACTTTTAAGCTAGCGGCATAATCTGGAAACGTGCCTTCGGTGCAGTATCTTTAGCCAAGAACTAACTCAAAAATCAATGAACCTAATTGAATAGTGTAAACACAAAAATCAATTTAGTTTTAAAGACGAAAACAGCAAAATTATATGCAATCAGTAGCAACAATTGCAAACTTACCTGTATATGGTGATTATGAGTTGGTGGGATGATCAAATTGCAGCAATCAGAAAGGTTAGTAGAGATTATATTGTTTCAAAGAAAGGAAATGCTTTCTTGCCATTCTTTAGCCGAGTATTAATCAATTACCAGGAATCTTGAGTGGCGATTTCGTGGTGGTAGCTGATCCATTATTATAATCATTACTTCATAATTAAAGCTGTGTAAACACATTAAAAAGTTCTTTGGACCGAAAAAGTTGCTTTGGACCGAAAAAGCAGTGGTGATAAGTTTCTTTAGAATTGAACAAGGAAATTGCTGTTTTGTTTTCGCTTAAGACTAAAACTAATTTTTTACCCTCGATCGCACATAATCTTTAAAATTATTTTAATTTAATGTTTCATATCATATTGTGCATATATCAAAATATATCAAATTAAACTAAATAAACATTCATTTAATTTTTTAATTAAAATTTTATATTTAACTGATTTTTTTATATTTTTCATAAATTTTTGATTAAAAAATCTTAATTATTTATCTCTATCCACAAACTAAAAAATTTATAATAGTATAAAAAATATCAAAATCAATAAATTCTATTTAAAAACTTATTTTGTAAATTGTTTTTATCTTAAAAAGCAATGTTTATTGATGAAAGAAACTTACATAAAACAAAAGCCTTAACTAATACAAAATAGCTCAACTTCAACTTAAAACTAGTAGATGGACTTTGTGGATCGATGGAAAGGAAAGAGAAGAAAAAGATTTTGGTATCAGATTTTTTATTGAAGCAACTGCATTTTTGTTTGGAAGTTCTCTTAAAATACAAATTAAACTATTATGTTAATTTTACAAAGTAAAAACGAATTGAAAATTACTAGAAAAAAGAGACAAGATACTAAAAATAAAAAATAGAAAGGAAACAAACAGCTCCAAATTATGAGAGCTGCAACTCTTGGAAGAGCAAGATTCGATGGCTGAATTGGAAGAAGTAAGAGAGGTTTCTAGAGAAGAAGGATAAGGCAGTTTTTTTTTTTTTTTTTTTTTTTTTTTTCTTCTGCATGCATAAAGTAAATGGAACATTAATTAAATGTTTCAGAGAACAACCATTTTCTTTCTTCTTATGATTAAAGAATATAAGCAGTCAAAAAGACAGTGATATAATCATAATCTGATACGTCAAATTACATGAGCTTGGTTTTAGATGTATTCAGCTAGTATATTCAAATCAGTTTTCGCTTTAATTAAGATTAAATTCGTTACTCTCCAATATAAATTAGTACTAGAATATGTTTATTTTTTGATAGACTACTAGACTATCTATTAGGACAAACCAATTCAAACCTAATATTATTAAAAAAAAAAAATTAAAACTAATATCCATAAATAATAAAAATTAAATCTTAATTTTAATCAAATCAAAACAATCATCTTATCTATACACCACATCTTTGGATAGTTTCCTCAAGTATTCCTTGTGCAGAAGATAAAAAGATAGATTGATATAAAGTTGAAGAAGATATGACAATAGTAGTGAACCGACGAATCTATAGATATAATCCAGCAGAGATGCATGAAGATAAGTTGGAATAATTATGGAGACCTTTAAGACTTCTATATAAACTTTGCTTCTATGCTTCTGAAAAACCACAGGGTAATAAGAAAGCAGCAACAATGCTGCAACCACAGGATAAAAACACAGCCAGTGGACCAACAGCAATCAAAGCGCATTTGAAGGAATTTTTCAAGAAATGCGACATCAATCACGACAACCGTCTCAGTAGGAAAGAGCTAAAGAAAGCCTTTGACGAACTTGGGGCATTGTTCCCTAGTTACAGGGCTGGCCGTGGCCTCAGCAATGCGGATGCCAACAAGGATGGACAAATCGACATGGGTGAGTTGGACGATCTTGTCAACTACGCTTATAAACTTGGGTATACTGTCCATTAATTACAACTTCAAATTATGCTAATATCGGCACGGTTTGCCAGAAGTGCCTTTAAATTCTACGTTGCCGGAAATAAAAGATGGACGTCCTCATATTTACTGATAAACTAATCGTACTATAGATTAGTTAGCTTTTCATGTCGTCTATTACCTTTCAATATAAGTTTTTTATTTTGAATTATCCCGATGGATTGTATTAGAAGATATTTGGGAAGTTGTAACTCCCATACTTTGTAACATATATTAATTACATATATAAAAAATATATATGAATGTCATGATATTTTGGAGCCCTTGATCTCTTCCAATTGAGACGATAAGGATCGAGTTAGAAAAAAAGTCATTTTTCATACTAACAATTTAATATTGGATGTCTACCGCCTCCATCTTATATTGTTTTTGAATTGCAGCAAATAAAGACATGCTCTGAATGGCCTTGTAAAATTATTTTGAAAGCTTACATAATCGCTTAAATTTTCAGATTAACCTGCTATGAATGGCTTTTACTATGTTAGAATCTCATTTAATAAATGAAACTTTTAAATTGAACTATCTTAAAAAGTTTTCGCTTAAAAAAATAACAATAATAATATAAAATCATCCTGTGTTTCGACTACTTTCAAAGTCAATCGAGATGGAAAGTGAGCTTAAACATATGTCAGGATGGAATCATATATAGTACAATTATTAAGTAAAGCTTTTTAATCCATAGAATCAGAATCTCAAATTTCTTTACACGTGTAATGGTCCTAGTTTCCTTCACACTGGGCCAGATTCTTGGACCAGATTGTGATGGCGTTCCTATCGATTTGTGTTTTTGATAGGGGTCATGCAAAGAATTCGATTCCTTGTTTAGAAAATCTTAGATTCCAATTTCTTTTTTTTTTTTTTCTTTTTTTTTTTTTTTTTTGGAGATTCTTGGTAAATTTGGAATAATACAGACGATTTTTTTAGCCAAAATCAATCCAACATCATGGGCATAGCCCATGAGTTTTGCTCATTAGTCTATTTGGCATCGAAGCAGGCTCAAAAACCTCAAAATTAAGCCAACGGTTTTTTTTTTAACTTTTTTCATGATCATATTGTTTTATGAATTCTCAAGCTTGTTGATCCATATCAGATTCAATTAAAAAAATTCAAAGAATAAAGGATCTATATATGGGGAAAAAAACCTGATTTTTAAAGAAGTAATTGCATTTTTTTCTGGAAGTTTGTTAAAATACAAATTGAAAATTACTAGAAGAAAAGAGTCAAGATATTGGAAAAATAAAAAATATAAACGAAACAAATAGCTCCAAATTATGAGAGCTGCAACTGTATAGTGTTGGCTAGTGTTTTATACTTACTTTCAGTGGAAGACCTAGCTATGGTAGGTTGTTTCTTCGCTATCTTGGAGATGAGATTCTTCCTAAGATAGATGGCATAACTATTTGTAGATCGACGATCATTGGGGCAGTCAGCCCAGTCACTGCGTAAAGGCAAGGGTAATTCCTTGGCAATGGGAAGGCCATCTATTGGAGTAGCTTGTAAGCACCGAAGAACATGTTTTAAGGTTGTTTAGTGAGCATCAGTTAGAGAGTGTATAAACTGGTAAAGTTTGTTGATTAGTGTAGGAGAGATCGGGTCTGGTAATTGTCAGTTTTGGAAGGGCAAGATTTGATGTCCGAATTGGAACAAGCAGGAGAGGTATTTAGACGAGAAAGGATGAGGCAGATTAAAAGGAACATTAAATACTGTGGAGAAAAAACATTTTCTTTTCTTCTTATCATGAAAGAACATATGCAGTCAAAAAGACATAGATATGAACATTTGGAATTTTAGGTAAGATCTTAAATAGCCTTTACTAAGTCTGATATGTCAAATTACATGAGGATGGATTTAGATATCTTCAGCTTTGATCTATAAAAGAGACACATAGGCATTAGGTATATGTTTATTCACTGTGTAGTGTGCCATTGTATGCTACCCAATTATCTTATTTCTTCATGTATATTATTTTTTAGATTTTTTTTTTATATTTACAGATAGTGAAATATTTTTTAATTAACTTTTACATCAATCAAAACTAAATCCACTACTTTTCAAACTAAAACAGCACCAAATTTTTATTTATTTATTTTATATTTATAAATAATGAAATATTCTCGAGTTAGTTTTTATATTAATTGGTAATAAATGCTCGACTCTTTAGAATACACCAACGCTAGAATACGCCTAACCATTCATAGACTATCAAGCTGTCTCTTAAGACAAATCAATCCAAATCTAGTACTATTATATAATAATTATAGTTAATTATTTATAGATCATTATAATTGAACTTTGATATTTGTCAAATTAAGACAGTATCTTTACGGTTAGATTACAACTTTTATCGATATAATCCAGCAGAGATGCATGAAGATAAGTTGGAATAATTATGAAGACCTTTAAGACATCTATATAAACTCTGCTTCTATGCTTCTGAAAAACCACTGGGTAAGAAAGCAGCAGCAATGGGATGCGACAAGAGAATAATGGGCTTTCGAGGCATGATGTCAAAATCAGCCGACGGTGAGACCCTAAGCAAAGAGCATTTAAAGAAATTTTTCATGAAATACGACATCAATCGCGACAATCGTCTCGGTAGAGAAGAGCTAAAGCAAGCCTTTGGGAAACTTGGGGCATATTTCCCTTGTTATAGAGCTGCCCGTAGCATCAACCATGCAGATGCCAACAATGATGGGCAAATCGACATGGATGAGTTGAGTGATCTTGTCAACTATGCTTATAAACTTGGGTATACTGTTTCTTAATTACAACTTCAAAGTTTGGCATGCTATTGTCGGTATGGTATGCACGAAACACTTTTTAATTCTATGTTGCTGGAAAGAAGAGATAGACGGCATCCTTTTCTTTATGTGTAATTTTGGCATCCTTCTCTTTTTATGTCTATTTCTCTTTGTTAAATTACAAGAGATGAAGTTAAATGTAAATGATAAATGTAAGAGTTTTAAAGACCAATTTTCAGAAAAAAAAATATGCTTCTATGTTTATAGAGAATATTAAATTTAATGGTCAAATAAATTAACTTAAAAGATAAGATAGATTAATTAGAAATATCAATTTTTCTAGAACAGTAGTACATATACATATATATATATATATATATATACATATATATATACATATATATATACATATATATATACATACATATACATACATATATACATATACATACATATACATACATATACACATATACATACATATATACATATACATATATATACATATACATACATATATACATATACATATATATACATATATACATATACATATATACATATACATATATATATATATATATCAAATTGTATTATCTTCATTATATTAACTTTAATATATTTCCTACAACTTAAGTTTTTTCTTTTTAGAAAAAAATCGATTTTTATGCACACTCAAACGCATTAAGTATTGTTATGATATATATATATATATAGTCATTGATTTTATTGAAAATTAACCATGCATCTACACACGTAATATCAACCATTTGCTACTAATATTTTTTTTAATATTCTAAAATTAATTTCTATCAAATAAAATAAGTAAACTAATTTTTTAGAGAACCACTTAATAATTCAAATAAAATTTTCTTCTACTAATATTATTGATTATTTTGTAAATAAATATATATAAATCAAATGTAAATATTTTCAAAAAGTTAGTATTACCATTAAACATAATAAAAAAATTATTTGTTAAATTTTACACAAGTTTTTATATTAAATAGTATTTTATTTTTTCTATGCAATCTTATAAAAAAATTATTAAGACATTTTTTAAAATTTTGTATAAATTTTTTCATTTAGATTATTATAATTTTTTATTTAAAAATAAATATATAAAGAAGAATAGATAATATTTTCTTAACTATAAAATTTATGAAAAACATAAAAAAAAATAAATAAATTAAATACAAAATTTTGATTAAAAATTATGAAATTAAATTATTTTTTAATTTAATTTCATATATTTTAATCGATTAATAAATTATGGCAGATTGTAAAACTAAAATAAACTTATTTTATTCCATCTGCACCATTGAACGAAAAGCAGATTAGTGTACCATGCAAATAAGTAAAATAAGTATAATCATGCGTGCTTTCACCAACTAAACAAAAACCCACAAATTGGATTTCCTTGTCATCTAAAATTGCTTCAACAAAAAAATCATACATGCAAATTCATGGGTTCTCTTCAAAGCTCAGCAGTTCTTCTTCTTCTTTTAGCAATCCGATTTCTGCATCGCCCATCATCTTCATTTTTTTCCATCCGTTTTGGTTTGTGGGAAATGAATGGACAGAGGAAATCAAAATTTTCTTTTGGTTTGTGCCTTTTCCTTTTCTGCTTATTTCTGAGAGAAGTGGATCCATGAAGAAAAATCTAGGACCATCTGATCCTTCCAGCACCAATCAAAAGCCAATCCAGATACTTGACTATACAAAAATAAATAAAAAGAAAAAAGAAAAAGAAAGAAATTTAAGCATAGAAAGCTCTCTTATCCGCTAGATACACATGTGTCGAATACAGAATAGGAACCAAAAGTGGTTCGGTCCTTAGATCTTCGCCGTTGATTATGGCTGAAGATGACGGTCCAAGCCAAGATATGGTCCACGCACCGAAAATACTAAAGAAAACACTGGAGATCCCAAGCTTAGTCGCTATTTCAGGTAACCAGCAAGGAGCGAAGTCAAAGATGATCCAATCCGTATCAGAAGATTGTAAGAAGTGAAATAAAGAATCTTGAAGGCCGTCATAGGCAATCTTTAGGTATGGAATTTTGTCAAAAGGTAAGTCTACGGTGGCCTCTGCATTATTTGGGAGATTTTCTACATGGGGCAAAGTGAGGCTCACTAAATTGATTCTTGGTGCTAAATTTGGAGGGATTGCTGGTAAACGTTGGATGTTTCGTGGAGTAGATATAAAGGAGATTCTGTGACCCTTCTGAGCTATTCTGTTGTCGAAATAGGACCTTCACTGTAAGCCAGTAATACCAGTAGGCTTATTGCCACCATCTGCTCAGTTCAGCGAGGCCGGGGTAGATGAAAAGTGGGTTACAATAAGTGAGTGGCTAGACAAGCAAAGGCAACGATCTGTTGTTTACATAGCGTTTGGAAGCGAGTTAATACTGAGTCAAAATGAAATAGCTGAACTAGCTCTGAGTTTAGAGCTATCAGGGCTGCCATTCTTTTGGGCTTTGAGGAACCGGGATTGTTCAGTTGGGTTACCAGATGGATTTGAAGAACGAGTAAAAGGGCGTGGAGTGGTGTGGACGAGCTGGGCACCTCAACTAAGGCTGATGGCTCATGAATCGGTTGGGGCTTTTTTTACTCACTGCGGTTTTAGCTCAGTTATTGAGGCACTCTCCTTCGGACTTCCTTTGATCATGTTACCTTTCGCTACAGATCAAGGGTTAATTGCAAGGGTTTTTGAAGAGAAGAAGGTTGGGATAGAAGTGCCAAGAGATGAGCAAGACGGGTCCTTTACTATGAACTCAGTAGCTGAGTCAATCAGGTTGGTTCTTGCTGACAAGGAAGGATCTGCATATAGAGAAATGGCCAAGCAGCAGATGGTAACATTATTTGGAGATAGGAACATCAGCGATCGATGCATAGACCATTTCGTTGCGTTCCTACAAAGTCATAGGTTTAGACAATTGCCTGCTGGTGCCAAACTGACATGAGAGGGGCCATAGCCTTTGTAGGAAGGTCTTCTCTCTTCAATTATGGTTCTGTCATGTTCTCTTCAGTAATTAATGGAGTAAGGATTTCATTGCTTCAACGATTTGCCTTTTTGGCTTACTTATTATTGCCTCCCCTCAAAACAGAGTAAATTATAAACTAGTCTCCCTTGTTTCGAAAAATAAAGTAATTAATCTTTTTTATTTTAAAAATTAATTATTTAATTTTTATATTTTAAAATTTATTTATAATTTAATTTTTTTGTTTATTTTTAATTTATTTTTATTTTTTATTTCAAGAAATAAAAAAATATGAAAAAATATAAAAAGATTAATGAAAAAATAAAAGATTTTTAAAAATAAAAATAATATTTAATTAAGAAGGTACAACATTGATTAAATAAGTAAATAATTATTTTTGAAACAAGAGGGACTAATTAAATTTTTTTCTTGAAAATAGAGGAATTAATTTATAATTTACTCTTTAAAAAGATTATCCTCTTTTTTTACTCCTCTTTCAAACATATTGTCTCTTTTGATTTTCCTTATAGATTAAGAATATTATTAATTATTATCTTATATTAATAATTTTTTATGATTTTTAAAAATACTTTTTTTATTAAAATTGTATTTTGACAATCTTTTACGAAAGAGATTTTAATTAGGATATTTTAGAAAAATATATTATTTATAATTGTTGACCAATTAAATATTTTTGAAATAAATATAAATAGAAAGCTATACGAAATTTTGGAAAAAAGAGTACTTTTATTTGTCACAAAATGATTGTTTTAATCAAATCATTAAGTATATATTTTCTTTCAATATCTCTAATTTAAATCTATATTGTAGGAGACCTAAAGTTGAAATGAAAGCATTTTATAAAACTGTGAATAAAAAAATATACGTATATAGCATAATAATTAATTATTTTTTAATACATATAAAAAAAAATCAAACATAACAGTTATTTTCAAAGCAACGAAAATATTCACGATGCTAAGCAAACAGAGTTTAGCTGCATTTTAAAGATTAATAGATCCCAATAAATGATGTTGTTTATGCTGCTTGTTCTGAAAAGATTAACTGATAGATCCCCATCGCCCACGTGGAGATGTTTTCTCATCTTTTCCTCTGAAGGAACCAACGCTCCTGATTTCCCTCCCACAACCCCCAAAACTCATCTTGACCGTCCCCACTTAAAATTTGCAAGTCTTCCACATGGGCGGCTGTGCTTGTCCCACTCTTGTCCCCTGAATGCATGGACAAGTTGCCTCAAAGGTGCTGCAATTTCTATATTTTTATTATTTTTTGCCCGTTCCCTAGGAGATCTTCCGGTACAAGCACAACAAAGTAATGAACAAGAATCAAAAGCACTTGCAAACTTCCGAAAGGTCAAATTTTGCCATCCATAACTGAAAGTCCAAAGTCTCGATACAAATCAAATGACAAATTTTATAGCACTCAAGGTGTGTGTGTGTATATAAACAACAATAATAAAAAAAAATATTACTTAAATTTTATACAAGGTCTTATAATAAAAGATATTTTATTTTTTCGATACAATTTTATAAAAAATTATTAAGATATTTTTTAAAATTTTATATAAAATTTTCTATTTAGATTATTAGAGATTTTAATTTAACAATAAATGCGTAACAAAGAACATATCATTTTTTTAACTATAAAATTTATTAAAAAAATAAATTAAATATAAAATTTTGATTAAAATTAATGAAATTAGATGAATTTTTCTTTTATTTTTAATTTTATGCATTTTAGTTGATCGATAACATAGTAGAAACTCGTTATGATTAAGGGAATAATAACTTTATTATATTACTCTTGTGTTACAAGAGATATATTTACACAAGTAAGCTAAAGAGAAGATAATTATTCATCTAAGTATTAGTTAATTATTAGATACAAGATTAGGATGAGTATGGATAAGTGATACTTATCCCAACACCACCTCTTTTTAAGCCACTTACTTGGGAGACGAGTAGCCATAGCTTGTCCCCGAGAAACCGAATCCGACGAACAATGACGGCTTGGTCATGTTGT